GAACGGGAGTGACAGGCAGTTCTTAGCCTCCATTGGGTGGGTACTGGGAATCAAACCCAGGTCCTCCACAAGAGCAGCCAGTGCTCTTAACTACTGAGCCATCTCTCTACAAGTCTAACACACACCATCGAGTTCTAAACAACAGTGCACAAACACAAAGGAGTGGGGCTGGGGTGAAGCTCAGTGGCAGAGCACCTGCTTACCACACACAATGCCCCAGCCTAATCCCTGGCACCGTGAGAGCAGTGATCCCTTCTGCTTTTCACATTTTCCTAAGGCAGATTGAGAACTCTAAGCCCCTGTGAGTGACTCCTGATCCCACAGGGCACCCTCCAGAAAGGCACAGCTAATGCCACAGCAGACAATCTCCTTAATGGCACTTAGCAGGGAGAGGACACACGGAATACAACATGCTGATGGTACAGCATCTGGATCACCAGAACTTGCCTCCGAAAAACTCACATTCTGTATCTGTCAGTAAAACAGGTGCCCCACTGGGCTTAGGAACGGGAACATGAGTGGGTGAGGTCAAGCCACCAAGCCACCAATAGTCCCCAGATCTGTGTGGCGTCTGACCTGGCACAGAGGAAAAGAAAAAAGCAGCCGAATGTCAGACCCACCGGGAACAAGCTCATCAGTAGGAGCGGAGGTAAATCCGGAGGAGAACACCCACAGCTGAACAAGACTGAGCACTGCAACGAGGGCCAAGCACCAGTCTGGGCCCAGTGGGGTCTAAGTCCTTTCCAGATAAAAGCCCTAACCAGAAACCATGCTGGAAACAGAGTCCACACCAAGGAAACAGCAGGGGAAGAGGGTCAAGGCAGAAGCTTCCAGGCCAGGCCAAGCTGGGCGGGCTTTCCCTGATACAGCTGCCTCTGGGTCGCCTGCTCCTGCAGGCAACCCCAGCAAGTCCACTGGATCACACCAAGCTAGACTTGGGTGCAACTGTGTTCGACCATCGATGTCCTACCTGGGGTGAACAGACCTTTTTATGTCTCCCCAGGAAAAGTCATGCAATGTTCCTCCACTGACAAAGTTTCAGAGAGCTAATTTCATTCCCACAAAACGTTAGTGTGTGAAAGTGGGTGGAAAATGAGGCCCCGACCAGGAGCACAGAACAGCAGACGTCAGGCGCTAAACACTTAAACTGAGCTAGAAGAACACACGTCCCAACCAGGAAAACTCAGAAATAATGCACTGAAAAAGAATGCAAGACCAAGGAGCCTAAGCTGAGAGTGTCTCAGAGAAACAGAACAAAAAGAGAGACGCTTTAGACCAAGAAGAAAGTAAAGAGCCAAAATCAAGTCCGTAAAGCCGATTCGGGGAAACGGGCTTTCCAACAGAGATCACAGAAGAGAAGGTAAGAGAACAGGACAGAGATGTTCCCAGTTTAACGAAAACCTCAGGAAACATACAAGGAACTGAAACTCCAGCTATTAAAAGGGCAGATGATGAGCCTGGTTAATTAACCCAGATGAACCAAATCAGTATGTATGCTAATCAACGTGCTGCCCGGAAGGAACACAACCCTGGAAAACACTTAGATACACAGGAGACGTGGGCAGGGATGTTTCATAATGGAAGACACTTCAATCCTATGGAGAGAAGGGTAAAGCTTTATGAGCCCCAGGGAATGCCCTCCAGACATTCTCAAGCTAATCACACACACACACACACACACACACACACACACACAGGTGTGTCCTTCCCCTGCTAAGGTAAACAATAAAGCTGTTGGGCAGAACAGCAGGCACTTTCCAGCGCCAGGCTGAAGCAGCTTTCAGTCATGGACCTGGGCTTACTGCATGTGCTTTTCGATGCCTGGGACATGGAGCCAGTCAGCTGAGTTGGAGGAAGGCAGGGTGAGAAGTGACCCTGCTGGTGGTCTGCTTCCAGACTTAAAGGAGTCAAGTCAGTGAGGCTAATCAGACAAAGAATTAGTGCACATTAATTTTATTTATTTTATGTGTATGATGCTACACCTGCATGTATGTAAGTGCACCCAGGTAGGACCTCTACAGAGGTCAGAAGAGGCCAGAAAAGGGTGTCGGGTCCCCTGGAACTGGAGTTATAGATGACTGTTAGCAGCCATGGGAGTGCTGGGATTCAAACCCAGGTCTTCTGCTGGAGGAGTCAGTATTCTTAACCACTGAGCCATCTTTCCAGCCCCAGTGCAAACTAATTTTAAAGGGTCAGTAAGTCTATGAAAAGTGCCACTTTCCAGTGTACAACCCAGACACAACAACTACCCTAATGACACTGCTCTTGGTATACAAATAATGCCATCAGTTTAGCCTTACAATAATGCTGTTTGAAATTAGCCCACGGACTAGAACAGAGGACCCAGCTGAAGTCCAGGCTCTTGTAGTCACTCGATTTTTGACAAAGGGGCCAAAAATACACACTGGAGAAAATACAGCATCTTCAACAAAGTATACTTGACAGGCATTCAAAAACAGTAACAGAGGACACGAAGTCGAAGGGTGGTAAGGCGGTGGGAAGTCTGAATGTGGACAAAATACACTGCATGAAATTCTCAGTAAATCCATAAAATAGTAATTCAATCATACAGTAAGATTTGTAGTAAGAAAGCAAATGTGTGGACATATTTAATGACTCTCCTTTGTAAGAAGACAGGTTTCCTAGTAACTGAAATGTATTCACTCTGCATCTAATCCAAAGAAAGTATAAAGCTCAGAAGGGTAGCTGAGACCACGGAGAAACGAAATCCTTCCTCTCCTTGTTCTCCTCAGCAGACACTGGTGATGCTAAGAAGCAGGTGAACAGCGGGGCGATGCCAGCCTGGATTTCCTACAGATTTTTAGCATAACCACTCAGGTAAAAAATCTATAGTTTGGGGTGCCTGTGTAGGACTGGTTAATCCCCCCATACAGCCCAGATGACTAAGCAGGGTCCAGGGTTATCAAGCCACCGATTTGATACACCTTCCACCAAAGGCCACAAAATAACATGACCACAGTGGAGTCAGGCCAAGAGCCCAAGGGCCCCACACCTGGACGCTCAAAAAATGGAAGGAATTAGGAGCAATCCCTACTCATATTGAAGGTTACTATGATCTGCAAATCAGTAACAGAAGACAGGTGGCATGCTAACGCCACAGTAATCCATTTAGTTAAGTAAATCTAAGGTCCTCTCAAACAGTTCATTTTCCCACAACGGCGTGGATGTGGGTTTTATAATTATTTCTGCAAATTCTCAAGCAGAAAACAATCGAGCTCCTGAACCAGGAAGTGCTTTGGGAGAAAACTGGACGGGGAAGAATCAAAACAGCATAAAACGGCGCATGTGTGAAAACACATGCTGAAACCCATCACTGTAAACTGTGACAAAAATGAAAGGGAAGCAACAGCAGCACCAAGCAGGCGTGGGCTTTCAGAAGCTCACACTGAGCGGCATGAGCAGGCCAGGGCTACGGGGCCGACACCTGGAGATGAAGCCTCAGTAACCGGCCTGTCTGTTATCAAGTTTTAAATACTGTGACAGGTGTCGTCTGAGAAGCTGGCTTCCTCCCCGAGTGCCTGTCAGAGCGCGGGAGCCACATAAAGGAGGCCTGGGGTCCAGGCAGGGCAGAGCAAGATGCCCTCCTCTTCCATCCTGGGAAAACCAGTTTGCAGCAACTCGCACCGTGGACAGGGAGGAAAAGCGAGTTGCCCCACTGTAGCCTGGCTGCTGAAGCATTTGGGATTCCCCACCTATCTACCACCACAAATAACACTGCAGAACTCTCCATAGCGGTTCATGTTTAGAAAGAGTTAGCAAACAGGTTTTACAGACATTCCAAGTTGGAGTTACTTTCTCAGATCAAGCTAAACGTCTGCATCCAATGTCCACCTTAGAATGGTTTCCTTTCAAAGCTGAAAATTCAAAGCTTACTATTCTGAAAGCAGGTGAAAACTCCTTGAATGCTCCTAGTGATAGGCAGGAACCTTGCTTTTCTCTTCTGTATAGTCCATATTTTCCAAATACTTATACACACACACACACACACACACACACACACCCCTTTGGGAAAAGAGCTTCCATGCTCCCTTCATCTGCGTCAGTGCCCTGGCGGTACTCTACACGGTTTGCCTTCTGTCGGGGAGCACTGACCTCCAATCAACACTGTATGGTGCTTGTCATCAGAAATAACAAAAGAAATAGTATTCTGTTTCACTAAGATCCAGACATATTTAGAAAACATACGTGTTAGGCACTCTACTATAAATCTATGGACAGTAATATCCTACCCTATAGAAAATAGGGGACAAAATGATGCCTTTACAATACCCTATACACTGGCAGACTACAAGTTCAAGCAAGAAGTTACTCATGTGCTCACATAGTCACTATCTACTCAGACCCTTGGCTCTCGTGTCTTCTATGCTTCCCTCGACCTGCACAGCCATCCTCACATCCACTGTTCCTACGCTGCTGTTACTCTGGTAGAACCAACTTTGTTCCAGTTTGAAGAAAAGGCCATAACCCACCCAGGAAGAAAAGAGTTAAAGAAGGTTCAATGACGAGCTAGGATTTCCTAAATCCTTGCTGATCCAGGCCTTTATGATTAATACACGTTAATTACTGTTGGAATTCCAGGGTAATACATGGACTTACGTCAGCACAAGCTTGATAAAAACAAAGCACTCACAGATACAGTGGGCCACTTCCCCTCCTTTAAATTACCTGTCTTTTTACTGAGCTTTCTACTTCTGATGATCCCACGGGGGTAAAATTATTTCCCTAAAAAATATCCTACTTCTATCTGAACTCACTTCAGTGAGTGAGTGTGTTTTAACACTGAAGTTGGTGATCTAACATGGCTTCCACAAGAGGTTATAGCACTGAAAATGCCGCTTCTGGCTCATCCCAGACTGAGGTCAGCAGGCCTAGCTTCTCCCCGTTTTCTGTGCTCACTCACATTAACTGGGTAGTTCTGGAAATTACAGTAAATGCTGCGTTAAAAGGTCTGCATTTAAAATGCTGCATTCACGACTTACCTGAAGTTCTCGGTATCTATCTTGAAAAGAAACGGCCTCCTGCTCCCTGTCCATCAGGAAACCCTTTTCTAAGACGCTGTGCTTCTCCATCAAAGATTCCACATCCTAAGGAAAATCGAAACACAAACTCTAACATTCAATGGCATAAAATACCTCCGACGGTTTTTTCTTTCCTTTTATGAGGCGGGGTCTCATTATGTAGCCCCAGCTGGCCTGGACCTCACTATGTTGACCAGGCTGGCCTTGAACTCACAGAAATCCTCCTGTCTCTGCCTCCAAAGTGCTGGGATTAAAGGCCTGAGCCACCATAGTGGCTAAAATATCTCTTTCAATAAACTTAGAAAACATTTGTCAGGGAAAGAATCAAGAAATTGATTGGTTTAAAATTTAGAGTTAAAATCTAGAACACTGTCAAAGAACAAATCTAATTAAGAAAAAAAAATCTATGCTTAACTGTAATTTCAGGACCAATATTAAAATTTTAACTGACATTAAATATTAAAATTTTAACTGACATTGAAATTAATAGCTGGACGAGAGCAGGGGTGGGGGGAGGTGGCTCAGAGGGCAAAATCTTGTTGCATGGGCATGCAGTCCCAAGCTCAAATCCCAGCAGTGAAAAGCCTGAACACGGCCAGGAGCCCCTGTGTCCAGCACAGCAGGGCAGACAGGCCAACCCATGGGCTCACTGCCAGTCAGCTCAGAAGAAACAGAGACGCTCCAGGTCAGTGGGAGACCATGTCTCAGAAAATAAGGAAGACATTATGAAGACTTCCCAACACTGACCAGAGGTGAATACACGGGCATGTACTCTGCACACACATGAACATGTATACACCCATTTGCTGCACACACTAAGTAAATAACTGCAAAAGAGCATCTCAGCCTGTCACAATGAACAAAACCAATCTGTTAAGTCCTCTCTATGAACTGTCTAAGATTAGACAGACAGATAATAGATTACAGACGGCAGAGACACAGAGACAGGCAGACAGATCCAGACAGACAGATACAGGATAGATGGAAGACAGATGACAGAGGACAGGAAGGGAGATAAGTCGATGATAGACAGCCAGGTGGGCGGATGATACAGATGATGAAGAGAGCTTAAAGCACATATCAGTCATTTCCTAGGTCAGCTGTGCATCTTGTCAAACACCAGCAGGTACTTGACTTTCCATGGAGAGAAGTCAACATAAAAAACTTGAAATCCCACACAAGATACAATACTGCCTACTTCCAAATTGAATGAAAATAAATCAAAAAGGAAAGCCTTAGAGGGGCAAGAGACAGCAACAAAGTTCTAAAATCTGTTCACGTCTTACAAGCACGTGCAGCTAGGTGTCCACCAGTGCTCATGGGCCTCTGCCACTACCCAGATCCCAGGAGACTCAAGTCCCATGCAGAGACTGGCATAATACCTATCACCCCACCGCCTCCCACACCGATCCAATTATCTCCTGCTTACCCCTACCACCCAGAACAGCAGAGACAGGACACAGAGTGCTGTGGACCAGGGGAAACATAGTAGGGGCGGTATGTACATGTGTACAACAGAGAATACTTTTTAATCCTCAGTATACTGATTCACGGCTGGTGGAATCAACAGATGCTTTGCGTTCCCTGCTGACTAGAGACATCTTGACAAAGCATCTCCCCGGGTGACCTGGAGCGCCTGATTCAAACGTATGCCCCCAGGAAGATACACTCCTCTTCTGGAGAGGTCTCATCCATTTTGGATTTTAACAAACCACTAGAATACACAGTTCCACGTTCCTGGGCAAACGTCCTCATACCTTTTTAATTCTCTGTTTTTCTTCTTCAGACGCTTTGAGTTTAGTCTCCAGACTTGATATTTTCTGCTGGAGCTGCGTGTTGGAGACATCGGCTCCAGGACCTTCAGACTCATCCACCAGAGCAATCGCCCCACTGCTCATCTCATCAGTCAAATCCAGTGGGAAGAGCGGGATATTCAGATGCGTGTGCATCGACTGCTCAATCTAAGTCACAGTATCAAAACAGACAAGACAGAGCAGGGTTTAGAGTATCCCAATACGAACACACCCAAAGCGCATCAGAAACCACATCTGGAAATCCAAAGTTAGGAAATTACTTCCCCTTTTAAGTAAGTCAACAAAAGACTTTAGACTATTAAAACAGCCCGATCTTTGAAGCATGAATAAAGTCTGCTCTTGCACTGAAGTCTACAGTATTCAGTATTTTTATATTAAAGCACTAGAACTTCTATGTTTGAAAAAGTGCAAGGGATACAGATACATCTGAGAGACTGATTCTTAAATTTGTACATGGACCTGGGATTCATTTATAATTCAACAGCCAATCAGACTTTGACATCTACCAATGATGGTAATCGATCATCAATTTCTAGCAAAATTAACAGATTAAGTTGCACTCAATGCTTCAAAGTGGAGCTCTGGAGTTCTGACTCCCACACAATGATTACTCCAATAAATATCTGAATGAATGCACTGCGATGCCTGTCTTCAACGGACTTAACCCTAAAATTGAAACAGATGCTCCTGAAAACATGTTCATAGTCCCAGAAAACAGAAACAACTATTGTTTTCTTTATAATTACTCCTTTTTTGAGGTTTAATGTTTGGAATGCAATACAAAAGTCATTATTTCTCCTTTTGAAGTTGAAGGCTTCTACAATGAGCTAAGTCCATTTTTTAATGGTGATGGGCAACTGTGCATTGCAGAGTCTAAGCTGGAAACAATACAGTGCCCACTGCCGAGCAAGGGCGAGCTGTGTTCTGCCAGTGGAGTTCCACACCGCAGCTAAATTGTAGTGTGGGAAAAACTGACTCTGGCCAAACTGCCTGGGTTTGAGCCCCAGCTCTGGCTCAGCCGCTTGGCAGCAGTGTTCTTGTAGGCAGGTTCCCGTGTGCCTCCCGTTTCCTTACCTTTCCACAGAGGGCAGGGGGCTTATGTTGTATTGTTATGTGCACGTGGGGGTGGGGGTGCATATGAACGCAGTGCCCACGAGGCCAGAGGTAAGGGATCCCCTAGAACTGGAGTTCCAGGCGGATGTAAACAGCCTATCTCTGGTCCTCTCCAAGAGCACTCAACCACTGAGTCATCTCTCCTGCCCCAGGGGAACTCATCTTCATGGGTTTGGGGCTGCTCTGAGGACTGAGAGGATATTCACAGTGAGGAGTTCCTCAGAAATTCAGACAGTGAAGCTGAATCTACCTTCATCTGTCAGCTCACTGCACATCTAGAGAATGAGTCTGCGAGCCAGCTTTCCTGAGTCTAGTTTCCTCTGAGACCCTAAACATAGCCACAGGCCTAAGACTAAGTCAGTTATAATAAATGAGACATTTAAAGCAAACTTTTTCAACTCAGGCTACATAAATATGGATTTGTGTCACAAAACAGTATTATCCAGTATTTTTTAATTCTAGGACTTGGTCTCCAAATTAGAACATCCATCACAGAAATATTTCTTTTAGAAAACAGCAACCACGAAAGTGTGAATGAAGTCAGGATGGAGCCTTTTCTGTGCATGCACATTTGTCTATGTCTTGTATACGTATCAGAATGTTGGTCACAGCTTCCTATGGAAACATGCCTGTGCTTACCTGGGCTTTGGGGATGGTCTGACTCCCAAGGCCATTGTCTGCATGTGCATCCTCTGCTGATGAAATGATGGCATCGGTGGAGAGGCAGGCAATCGATGGAGGTGAGTGTTCATGGTCCAGGACAAGCTCGGGAGAAGCTGGTGACAGATGGACTCCGGATACTGAGGGACAAGGCACAGAGCAGAGTTAGAAAGAGGAGCAGAAAGAGCGTGGGGAGGAGAAGGAAGAAGGAAGGAAGGGAGGCGAGCAGGAGGCAAAAGCAGCCAGAATGAAAATCAAGGTGCTGGGGCTCTAATCTGAAGTCTAAAATAAATCTGAACTCCACAGGACGTTTCCAAGCATAACCCAGGCAAACAAACAAGGTAATAATGTCTTAGTGTGCCTGTACTAGCCCGCTGCCATAAGATGTCCATTTCCAATCAGACACGACACATTCACGCACGCATTCAGAACAACTGAATTTCCGTTCTGAAAAGAACACTGGCCTGGTGCGCTCAGGAGCACTGTACAGGCAGGAAACACAGGAGACATGGTGCCCCATGGATCAGTGGCCCCTGGATCCAGCGGGGAAGTCAACTAACCAAACAACTAACTAAACAAGTTAGAACTACTGTAAAATGCAGCATCCAATTATCTTTGTAGCAAGTTCATAATAAAAACGGGGGGTTCATGTTAAGGCCAATTTGCATTAACACGACTCCTACAAAAAAATAATGCTGGAAGACAGTTTGTTAGGAAACTAATTGCACAGCTATCATTAGACTGAGACCAAGGATCACGTTAAAAGGTTATGGAAGCAAACCAACTGGAAAGTATAAAAAAGACAAAAATACAAATGAGGAAAAAAAAACTACATATTCATATTACTTTACTTTTTAAAATACTTTCAAAAATTCCAATGAATGTGTGATGCTCTTTGAAATGTAACATGTTATCTTTTGTGGTAACTCATTTACACGTCTTTCTGTTCTGAGAAGTGGAGTCATTCTCAGCAGGATCATTCACACTCTGCCATCTAACTGCAGTGACCTTTATTCCACATTGGCATCAGTGGGTCTCTGAGTGACGTCCTACCAAACTCGGAAGGCAGCTCACAATGGAGATAGCATGCTCCCCTGAAGAAATAAAGGCCATTAAGAATTAATGTTTTCTGATTGCTGCTTTATGGTATTGCATAATTATCTTATATAAACTTTTATTATATCTAACAATATTGTGCTTTTTAACAATATGTTCAACATTAGATAACTGCGATAATCTAGCTTCACAAATAGGTGTTTCTTTTTTCTCAATTCAAATAGAACAAAGTAGAATTTTAATTCAAGTTTGGACTTCATACATAGTTTTAAGAATTTTGTTTGTCTAAATCTTCACTGTATATGGTTAAACTGGATTCTCTAAAATGTTAAAACGTTTCAACTTCTAATTCTGAACTGTATCTGATAATAAAAATATTATTAATGAAATTTTAAAGGCATGAAAATAAGAGCTGTGTGACAGGGAAGAATTTGGCTGTGACAGATCTCAGGTTCAGAGCAGTGTAAGATCATCACGCACAGAGCGATGTGAGCCACCTGCCTATCAGGGCGCCTCTAAACATGGACAGAGCTCCCAGAAAAGGCCGACAGCACCTAGCACAGGATGCCTAGTGGCTATCAGCTCAGCTACTATTTTAGATATCAGATCTTACTGGACAACTTTTACAAAGGAACTACAAGTCGTGGGCTTTATGCCTGCCTACTTTAACATCATGTTTACAGTCACAATTTACAAGATGTTCTGCTGTGCTGGGAGAAATTCTCATAGCACTGAATATTCAAGAGCATCGCATCAGGGACAAGGAGGAAGTAGGTAGACTTCCTGAGGGGTGAAGAGAAGGGAGAGAAAGGGGGAAGGAGACAGGAGGCTACAGGAGGAGACCGAGGAAGGGGGACCCCAAATCTGGGCTTCACACAGCAGCGGCTCCCCACACTTCCTTCGTAGCCAAGCTTCCTCAACAGTTTGAAGCCTTCTTTCTCCTCCGTTCCCCTCCAGGCCAGTCTCCACACCTGCTGCTTCTGGCACTACTTGTACTGTATGGCTAAATCCAACCACCTCTCCCAGCACACACATGCTGCCCTTGAGGTTCCGAAGGTGGGGGCTGGGTATTTGTTATGGCCTCTCCCTTTTCTCCCAGCACTATGCCTGCTTCCCATTTCCTTCTGAGACTCTCCATTAACTGTGGTCTCGCTGCCTCCCACTCCTTCATCCATCTCATTGGGCCTGTGTGTGGTATTCTGGATAACCACTTTCAAAACCCATTATTAATCCCCCATCTCCTACAAGGTCATAACACCCAAATTCCCATCTCAGTACAAACTGCTGTCTGCCTCTAGCTCCCTGAGTTCATCTTATCACAAGGATCCATTCAGATGTCCAACAGGGACATTAGTGTTAACTACCATTTCATGCAGCCCAGCTCTGCTTCATGTTCCTGCTCTGTTAACAGTACACAACCAGAAACGAGCTGCCCAAGCCAGTCCTAGCCTGGTTCAGTCACACTGTGCTGTAACACGCCCCAGTTCCACCTGTTCTGTACCTGTGACCTCACAATGTCACTGCCTAGACACAGGTCACAGGCTTGGAAGCCAGACCAGGCTTTGAGATGACAGCTATAGCAAGCTCTTCGCTGAGGGAGGGAGCAGAGCGTGGTGAGCACAGCGGGGACTGGAGGCCACTGGTGTTATCTTCCGGCAACACTGAACTCCAGCTTTTCCAGATCACACCCACTTTGCTCTCCACCTGATCACCATGCAATTCTAACTACCTGCCAACTGTTAACAGTTCCATGGGATCCAACGCCCTCTTCTGACCTCCGTGGGCATTGCACAACACACGTGCACTTACTTGCGGTCATAACACTCATACATATAAAATTAAAAATAACAATAAAATATTTTTAAAATAGAAATGACAGGGGTCTGGAGAGATGGGTCAGCAGTTAAGAGCACTGGCTGTTCTTGCAGAGGACCCAGGTTTGATTCCAGCACCCACATGGCAGCTAACAACTGTCCAGGGGATCCGACAGCCTCTTCGTCTTCCGCGGGCATTGCAAGACATGGGTGCACTCACATAGATGCAGGCAAAACACACATACACATAAAATTAAATAAAATAATAAAAAATAAAAAAGAAATGACAAAATATTGCATACCATAGTCTATGCTAAATACAAAGCCAACAATTAGGACATTTAAATCAATTCAAACTAATTAATTACTTTCCCTGGTCAAATAAAAACTGAAGAAATGACCGGAAAAAAAAATTAGAGCAGACGAAGGAAACTAATAAAAATAATAGATATTGAAGACAATAAAGGGCCGATCTCATTCTGGATTCAGAAGTTCAGCAGAGTAGTAACTAACCTGGTAAAATGGGATTAAAGACATACGCCACCACACCTGGCAAGTAAATAATTTTTAAATTTTACCAAAACAGAAATTGCCTGTAGAAACATAGTTTGTAGAAGTAGATTTGCTTAGTACTTTAAAACAGATCTCTGAAAACCAATTTCTTTGAGGGAAAAAAAATTAACCTAATAGGTAATAACCCCACAAAGAAGCACAAGGTTCAAATAGTCTCAAGGGTGTCCATCCAAGATAAAACTAAAGAACCCAAATATTCTAAAACTAAAATTTAAGAAAGCCTCACTAACATTAATAGAGCATTCATACCGACCTGTAAAGACAGTTTAAAAGGGTCATTGAGATGGCCCAGGGACTACAGGTCCTGCTGCACCGCCTGACAGCCTGAGTTCAAGCCCCAGGACCCAAACAGTGAAGGGAAAGAACTGACGCCCGCAAGTTGTCCTCTGAACTCCGCACGTGTGCTGTGGAAATGCACATCCACACACACACAAATCAACATAACTTAAAAGACAGTTAAAAAAAAACCACAAAGTTTTAGATGAAGGTGTTTATAAAGAATGAAGTAAAAACTGTCAATGAAATGTTAGTAAACCCAACCTAAAACCACATTAAGAAGATGAGCTCCAATGAATAGGTAGGTTTTGTTCCAGGAAGGAATGCTGACTCACTACTGGTAAATCCCTCCGTATGAGGCACACTTGAAGAAATACGAGATGATTCTACCAATACTCTGAAACTGCCTTTGATAACACTGAAAACCCATTTCTAGTTAAAAGCACGGGGGGGGGGGCAGCTACATAACAGTAAGACATAAAAACAAAACAGAATAAAACATACCAATCTTAGCACTAAATCATTTGATTTCATGGGAAGTTGGTAAGGGTTTCTGCTCTGAATGCATAAGGCAGGGACGCCTCTGCTCCTGTGCTTCCACCTCAGGAAGGCCTGGGTCAAGAAAGAGCAACAGGGCAGCACAGGATGGGAATGGACACTCCTCGGGTTCCTACCCTGGACTGCCATCAAGTCAAGTCAGACAAAAGCACAGGATGAAGGGGCAGTGAGTGTCGACCTGAAAGACCCTTTGCACACAAAGGATTAGTGGTCACCCCTCTGCCATGTGCCAGCACTTTTCTGCACACAGACTGTAGGTGGCCCAGAATGCCATGAATGCAAGCCAACACAAAAACGCAGCGTTCTTAACACTTAATTAGGGCTTTAAATACATACACCTTCACTGCACAGTTTCTAACCATCAACTTTGCAGATGGCAGTATGTCACAATGCCGGCTGGACATCCTCTGAGAACTCAGTCACAAAGAACTATTTTTCAGTGCAACAGGATAAAATAAATTCAGCAAGAAACGTGAGGAAAACTAACACAGTTCTGAAAGGAAAATGTAGGCGGAGGCCAAGGCAGCCAGCCCTGTCACTACACTGTAAGGACTCACGCCCTGTGGACCCTGCCCCATCCTTGTAAAGGACTCAGTTTGCAGATCTCACTCTCTGTAAAGGACTCACACCCTGTGGAAAAAGGTAAAAAAGTTAACACAGGAAGACAATAAAAAAGAAAGTTGTGAAAACGTACTCTAAGATCACATTAAAGTACAATGACATTTCAACAAACAACAGTGTCACTTGGTGCAACACAATCAGACCATTGCAGAGCTCCCAGAGACTCATCTACACATCAAAGAACTATCAGACACACAGCAGTTAAATCACTGAGGTCACAGAGATGGGATTTTCAGCTTTTT